TTTTCGTCAACTCGATAACAGGCCTTTCAACAGAGTCGTGCTGAATGGCCCACAAATGTTGTTCAGTATTTTCATGTGATGACCCGATCACCAATGCGATTGGCATAGACACATGGACGGACACGCCACTTAGACGTTGTCAGTCGTACCGTATGGTCTCCGATAGGCATTCGAATTCACTGTTTCTTAGTAGTACAGTTTTGCTGTCAAATAGAAAATGTTTCTTGTATTCATCAAGGAAATGTGAAGCTAATTTCCGTAAATATTTAGGACATCAACCTGTACGCGACCAACTGAGTTGCGTTGAAAGGAACGAATTTAGGGACTGGATGATTCGACATAATTGAATTGAGGCTATTAGGGTGCGCTGGGATGTCTTGACAACTTTCACTTCTTTCACCACCAGATCTAAACACGAAGAACGGAGAACCCAACGGTCGCGAAATTTCGCAGTGGCCATCAAACTACCACAATACTTATAACAGATAATGGAAGAATTGACATCAGTCCTGCACAGTATTCCACGAAGATATTGTGAAACACAGGAATAAAGAATTGCGGGGCACTGATACACACGCACACACACGTGTGAAAGCAATCTTCCCGAGGAGAGATATTCGCAAAATGCAAATCAGTCCACCTCCACCCTCACAATAACTCACTGATCCTGCAGGAAGAATTATGAGATGACATTGTCCTGGATTTACCGCCTGACAGTTACACGGAACGGGTGAAACTGACAGCGTCGTTATAACACTGATAGATTAAAGAGCAAACCGCCTGACAATCAGTTAGTCACTAAGATGGTTTGAAATGTCCACACGGATTGAACGAAATGGTCTGAAAACCGGATTGGATAACGCATAACGCTTCAACATGCGCTGGATTTCAGGCACTAAGTTTACGTCTCTAGATTCTCTTCGCCATACGTTTGTTCGAGTATGGCGAGGCGGTACATGCAAAATGCGCTTGCGATGACCCAGTTGACGGGAAACGACTGTTCATGTTGATATACTAGTCTGCATAGTACGAAGTGGAATGTTGTGTATTCTTTATGGTCGAAGTGAGGGACCTCTGTAAATCCAGAATACAGCTGTTGAAAGCACCCACGCGTAGTTCCATTGAGAAAGGGAGTGGTAGTGGATAGCTGTAGAATCACCATGTGGATCGGTTCAAAAATTAAAGCACCGATAATCGGACTATGTTAGTCAAGTCTTCTATTGAGCCGCGGCAAGTGAGGTGGACGTTACGAAATTAAAAGATCACACGAAACCGAACGATACACCACCACGCTACTACACTAAGTTCGGGCACGATATTGGACACTATAGCCCTGTGGTGCTTGAGCGTGAAACTTCAACGCACGGCAAGTTTGATGTGGCGTTGGGGTTTAAGTGTTTCGATGATGTCGTGAACTGGTTTTGCTCCAGACTGATAATTGTATCGGATCACGATAGTGAGGCTTACGCCAAAAACGCCAAGCCAACCGACAAGCCCAGCGCGGTACAGAAGCCAACACAGAGGAAGATGTGCCTTTAACTTAGTCTACAGTAGGCAAGATTGTGGGTTCCGCTAATGTCTACCAAGATTGACATTACCGCATTGCTTATAGCTTGAAAACAAAACGTCCTACATTCAGTAAGAACGGAATGAGACATTTCAAGACCCGAATGACCAGGGAGTGAGGCGAACAGATCTCAGTAGTTCTTTAATAAACCAGTGCATTTGAGTACGATTCACCTCAACAAAAGCACTATCTATTATGTTACTAAGATCTCTTCGACAGTCCATCATGTTTCAACATTCTTGCGGCTCATCCAGTAGGTGGTTTCTTCCAATCTGACGTTCCACTTGAACCCGAAAGGCTGAATTGACCAATCTTCTTAAAAATATACAGATGAACCGCTACAAGAGCTTGAAAAGGATAAGAATATCGTTCCACTGAAGCCGGATATAGATTGGCCTGTGGACCTGTTTTGCCGAACGAGTCCTCCACTTGGTGACGCTATCGAGTGCTGTTATGACCAGCAAAGAACTTGCATTGGTGCACTACACGCAGTGGTTTCATCAGTTTCACTGCCAATCAGATTATATTCATCGGGTGCCAGCAGACTAGTCACTGATGACTCCTTGTGCTAACCGCATTTGGAAGTATTCTGAAGAGAGTAAAACCGATGAAGACGGTGACCGATATTGCAGTAATGATATACCGACTATCGGTACATGTACTGTGCCACTAAGCGGCTTACTCCTCGTTCGGTGAAACGTGATAACAAATCCCCTAATCATTTGAACAATGAACTGAAAGCAACACAATTGAGGACTGCAATAATTCTATCCAGCCATTTGCTTCAAAACGTGAAACGGTAAAGCAGGCAAAACCACGACCTGCACCTACCAGCCGATTATCAAACAAGTCTCATAGGACGTGACCCCGTTAAAAAACATGGTGGTCCCTGGGTCACACAAGTGTTCCTGAGGGCACGGCACTGGTTTCGGCCGGTCGATAATGCCTAGACAAATCTCAGTGAGGCCCACTGCATCTTGCATTGACATGGAGTTTAGATCAACATCACGCCTGCTTGCAATCAAGTGTTTCGTGATCGATCTCATCGATCGAAATCAGATCAGTATCCGCATAAGCAGGTGGCGCAGAAATCTGTTTGGGCAGATGCCCCTTGACCCGCGTACCAAATCTTTCATCAGCTTTACCGACAAAGGTTAGGTCGTAGCTGCTTCAACTTGAGTTGTGGCATGTCGATTGCAACACCCGTAGTTATTTTCAACGGAACTGTTTGTTCAAGCTCAGGGAAAACCGGTTTCTTTAGGATGATTTCCTGTATAGTTAACTGGCCACGAGCCCTCAGATATTCCTCCATAAAACCATCCGAATAACTTCTCGACTGCAATAGTTTTGAGGATTCGAATTTACGCACCCAGGGTGCAGATAAGTCCCGCTGTAAAATAGAGCGCACCTGTGGTCGTTTGCGTTGTACTGGACATAAACGCGGGAAGTGAGAGATCTCATCCCGTTACGTACTAAAAATGCAATGTTCCATTTTCAAGTTAGCATCTGTGTGCTGTAGTGGGAAGTCCTTTTGTACTAGTCAGGGTGAACATCATCATCAGGAAACTAGAGTGAAACCCAGAGACTGAAATGTCAGTCGTTCCGCTCTGTAAAAGATGCTTGAATAAGTTATATCGAGTGTCAAGGACGGGAAACCTATTGTCTTGAACAAACTCCAGTAAATCGTGCAGACGAGTCCGAACGAAACAAACAACTTCCATTTTTGGATGTTTTAATTTGATGAAACCCAGATTGTTCAGTATGCAGTCTTGTGCACTTATGACTACTCGGACGGGCGACTTCACATCCCACGTTTGTCCAGTCTAATATAAACGACCACCGATGAACACCTCTGTCAGGACGCGCCCAGACATGGAAAGAGAGTGACGCATCCCCAAGGTCACCATTGGTACACGTCCGGAAAATAGGTGAGTTGGCGGACCTCACCAAACACGGCTTAGCAACATACGACCAGCGTATTGGGCCTGAAATTGTTCACGAGCGGAACACCGCCATTGGCCGCACAGAACGAACAAGTGAACGACCATATTTGGCCATTTAGTCATCATATATATTTGCGCAGAAGCTCTGTATGTTTTGTCCAGACAATACAGCCGTGTCCCGAGTTCTGTCTTCTTATTGCGTAGTCTGGCGGGCTCAGTGCAGGAGTAACCAATAGACGGCCACCCACGTCGCAGTTTCGTTTCAGAGACAGACCCTAGTTTACGCACCAATGAGTAGTAAATATGGAGTAGCCGCACAATCTATGGCACTCTAAACGCATATATATCGATAACATAGGTGACCTGTTTCATCCCAGGGCAACTGCAGTATCTAAGAAAACCTATCAGACCGTCCCTTTGAACGTCAGTTACGATTCGACTAGCAAAAATGCGTTACTGAGGTTAAAGGATGTATGCAACTTCTACGAAATACACTGAAGCGACGTACAACCCAATGAACCCACTTAACACCACGACAGGTGATCCGCTCCAGCACTGCATTTACATCGATTGATGTGGAGGCCACATCCACTTTAAACATGCAGCCAGAATGTAGCTGAGCTCTGCAACCATGTTAGGACATTTACAAGCCCCTAATCGATATAAAGCTTACACTCGGATCGTGTACCCTGACAAATGGTTCATCGGAGAGCCCGTCGTAGAACCAGAGCAAAGAACCCAATCCCTACTCAGTTAAAAGGAACAGCGTCGACAAACCGAAATGCTCAGACAACTGTCATACCGACAGCTAAAGGGACTGTGAAGTACGAAAAAACCATAACTAGTATGGAAACATCAGTAACGGGCCTATCTGGTTAATTCCTTCTCTACCACGCATCAGCTCATTCATTAGTGATTTTCAACCCGGCTCCTGCAAAGAACCATGAACGACAGCAGCTGGCACATATTAGCATAATTCAGTGCATGAAACTAAATGAAGGCGGATCACGAAGAACAACCCAATGCGATGGAGTGAACCGAAGCTTTCCTTCACCGCCTCTGGATTAGGTGAAATTGGGTGCAAGCCTGACATCTTAGAATGTCTTTCAGTACAGAGAAGACATCCCAGCTTACCGAACCCCGACAAAGACCCCGTTGGATCCGTGCATTCTAACGAAACTTTAATCATTATCGAATCTGTATGACCAACGGAAGGGCCGAAACTAGTCAACTGATGTGCACTCAGGATATTCCGATAATGCCACACATGATGAGTGGCATAATGATTCTTTCACGGCAAGTAGAATTGTCGAAGGAATCTGATGGACACAGAGCATATCACGGAAGGCAGTAAACTACATCTGTAGTAGCCACGGAATACGCGCACTGAGCCCGCCTAGCGCAGAGATCACGCGAATTGGACAGTGCCTAGTTTGGATGGCGAAAGATCACAACACCATAGCAAAGTGTGAATACGATATTTTTCGGTATTCAAATGCATGCGTGTAGAAGCACGATGGACACAACGGGTGTAGGCAGGATGCAATGGGAACTCAACCAATATCTGCGCCATTCTAAGGTAAAAAGTAGTTACATCTGGAAAGTAAGTGGGTTTGTTTAAAAAAGTGCTATTGATAAACGCTACAAAAGAGTAAACGACCTCAGACCGTATAACATGTTTTGTTTGCACTGGATGGAGTTTGGCCGAATAGCCGGGAAATAGAGGCGTTCAGAAGGAGGCCGTTAAAGTATGTACAAACGACAGGAATGTGGAACAAATCATTCTCATACACGATCGGCAAGTCTGGGCTGTACAGGGGGACACGATGCAAGAAACAGATTAGTAGAAAAAATTAACAAAGGGAGATGTACACAACACTGGGTCTCTACAGGTCAAAAGGGGAAGAGACTAAATTAAAGCAGTGATCACTTTACACGACAATTCCATAAACCCATATCACCGTCTTTCTGTTTGTGCATGTGCTATTGAGTGAAAGCAGGGAAGTAACATTTGACGGAAAGTAGTGAAGTATAAAAAGTGTGTTAAAACTATACAGGTGAGAAATCATGATGCGAAGTGAGCAAACATCGAGAAACTGGACAGCCGGAAAAACTTTGCACTGACATCTGATAGAAAACAGGCACTGCGTATGAAGGGATCTATCGCGAACAAAGAGTGTAAGCGGCCAGATATAATCACCGGGTGCAGAAAACTGGACATCAAAGCGTAGTACACAAGTGCTGAATGCAGAAAGCGGAATTTAATTCATCCATTTTCGGCAATTTGTCGATCTACACAGACAGGGAATTTTGCTGCCACCGTCCTCCAAATCGAAGTTATAATCATAGCAAAGCTCTTCGCCCTTTTCTATCAAGCGATTGGTTATGATCACGATGTGTGAATGATCACCGAAGTTGATGAATTCCGCAAAACAGTTTGGTTGACAGGAGTGGTTAATGTACCGGGCGAGTCCACCACAGACAGTAGCATCAATCACGGTGTCATCATTCAGACGAAACATATAAATCCCCCGATTGTGTGCTTCATAGTCTTTCTCGCGCTTGTTCGCCAGCTCCAATCGGATGAGTTCGCCTATGTACTCTATGACCATTGTTTGCGGTTCCAAATTTCTAGCAGCAAACAAACCCAACCCTTGGATTCTTGATCGACCGAGTATAACGTTACTGGAGGCTTCGCCTTTCAGACGTCTATACTGTTGAGATCGACTGCTTTGATACTGTTTCGAATAGTCTGAAGGCGTGGAATTAGATAAACTTGGATGCACGGATCGGCGAAACCCTACGGGCGAGCTAGTGGTCGGTGTAAGTTTGTGGGAGCTCAAGAAGGACCGCTTAACGTATGTTTGCATTTTGGGCTCCGTGCGAGCACACCCAGAAGGGTTAATTGCCAGCGGCATCTCCGCTATCAGCTCCATTCGTCCGAAGTTAAATACATAATCGCGCAGACCATCCATCCCGGGTAGAGATTCAACCGCCCGCACAATATGTGGTTCCGATAGCCCATAGAGGTCTTCACCCTTGATGTGTTTCGGGAACAGCTGTACCATGTTGTTTTCTCTACGCAAGCCTTCGATGCGCGAAAGAATAACCTGCCAGGCACCGGTACACGAGTCACTCACAACAGTCACATCTTCCAAGCCATCGTCTAACGCAGTGATGCGGAAAGATGGTCGTCCATCTGCTTCGTCAATTTCACAAACATAGCGCGCTCGACGATGAGGTTTTCGCATGGACCAGTATATTCTTACAGTGTGAAATCCAACCGGATAGATGTAACGCCGAGTGTGGAAGTACCCACTCTCGATCTGGTGTGGCAACAGCTGCCCCACGTTATGGAGGCAAACACTCCCTATTCGAACAATCTTGGTTCTGTCTTCCTCGTGGATCACCCCACCAACCTCCGCATTTTCATCACGAGTTATGTAAACACGACGATTCACTAAAAGAGAGGGGAGCTGCATCGGGTGTGCCTCTCTTGGCTGATGTTGAGGACAATACATACCACGATCGGTGAAAAACATACAACCGATGGCGATAGCGCAAGAAACGTGATATGAAAATGTACACCGAGGGTTGTAACATGGTAGACCGGCTCCAAAATGTCCACAGTGTGTGCAGTTAGTTTCCATTGCCTTCTTAATCCAGATATCAACATCATTTAGAGAACCCCCAACTGTTTCGTATACTTCATAACACCAAAGAGCACAATTAACGTGCAGCCATTTGTCGATATTCATCGGAAGTAATCGACCCAAACCATTCTCCGAAGCATCTCCTACTGTACCACAGAGCGTACAACGTCGAGGGTCAGCTGAAGGAGGGGGGCGCAGACATGGACCGTCATCACGAGAAAACGTTATCGGTCCTGATGTTATAATCTTATCACTGGGTGCTGGAGTTGCGGTTAGGACGAATTCTGATGAGAAGATGCACCAACGCGAATCACGCCATCTTCTGTGTTTTGCCGTTCCATGTGCAGCTGAAACGTGCCGCCTTTTGTGGCCTGAGGCCACAATAGGTACGCCAGTTGGGTGGCGTTTTGAAGATTTTCCTAGCTTTGGTAAAGAGCTCTGTAAGACGACAGGAACTGTAGAAAATAAATCACACACCAATGTCTGCGGCCGAGAATCTGAAACTGATCCAGTGGTGGCGGTGGAAGTTGGACAAGCAGTAGGACTTTCCAGAGAAAGCCGACGAACAGAGATCGAATGCGCGAAAGCTAACATACAGTCCTTAGAACAAAATATAAAGTCTCCATTTGTATCGGTGCGCGTTGTCAAACCGGTTAAAGCAGCAATATCATCGAGGGTCTTACGATGGCCACTGTATGGAGAGACAAGTGTATCACAGTTTTGACAAGGTTTCGAAACCCCATGCTTGTTGGCCAATAGCGAAACGACGCTTACGGGTTCCTCCGAATATCTGGTCCGATCGGAATTCGTTATACAAGGGCCGTCTGATTTTAAAACACTTGAGGTATCGACATTCTGTTTCAACTCTGGCCGTCCTGTCCCAGGGTGAATCAAAATTTCCTCTCGTTCCACAAGTGTTTGCAAATCTGAATGGATATTGGAATCAGTTGGCCTAACTGAAGCCGTTTCAACGTGTAACGATAGAGGAGTAAAGTGCTCCCGAAGTTGGCTTTCGAGATTTCGCATCAAACCCTCGCTCTGGGATTGTTTTTGGTCTAAAGTTATTTGAGCTCCAGACCGTGTAACCTGATAGGAAACGGAATCTTGCTCAACCCCCAGTAATTCAGCTATCCGTTGTACGATTTTGGGAATGCCACCAGTCATTGATGGATTGATGGTAAACGTGATATGTAACTTGTCAGAATGCATTGGTTCTGCAGGTGGTCGGAAGCGGTGTCCAGCAACAATTTCGCCTGTCTCTGAGTCAATTAGGGGACCCGTTCCAAGTGCAGTATTGACGGGCGGCTTCACATCATTTGGTTCACGAGACGGTGAATTGTAAATAACAGTTGAATTTGGTCGAGAAGTCTCTGATTGAGCAGTTGTGTTAAATTCCGCGCCATCACGGTCGGTAGAACCTGACCGTGCATGATCATACACAAGTCTTGGATTAGGCATGTGGAAAAGCGGAAGTGGGGGTGTTGATCGTTCTGCATCAGGTTTCCCAGAGTTCGGCGTCACTTCAGCGAGCATTGGCAGTAACCTGGGTGCGAAAGACGGCATATTTGACATGTTCTGAGAGACGCTTCGGTCAACTACCAACGTGGACTTACATTCTTCCTTCGGAGACCGATTGAATGTGGAGAACAGAGCTAACATATGGTTTTCAAATGTTAAAGGCTCGGGGGAAGGACAAACAGGAGACGCTGGGGACATCGTATGAGCGGGGTTTTTCGAGCCACAAACCAAGGGGCCGATGAAGGTTGCGTTTGGTAAATGGCGCAGAATATAACTGTCAACTTTTCGGTCTGAAGCCTCCGAAAGAGAGCACTTCGGGATATGGACAGACATTGAACCATGAATGTACTTCAGGCCCTTTCTGCATAAAACAGACTGTTCGTCGTCAACTTTCAGAAACGGAGTCACAACATCAGTGCTCCCAACAGGTGGTAATACGGAAGGGTAAGGTCGTAACACAGGTGCGGAAACCAGCGACTTCAGATCACCCAGCTTTAACTTCTCAAAATATTCGTGTGCTACTATGTTGGCTCGGTAGGGAGAATTGGGTTCGAGTAAAGATCCTTTGATTAGATTCGTGGATCCGTTAATAAGCGACGTGGGAGGAGCGGCAGTTGTCTTCCGACGTTTCGACAGACCGGAACCGGATGTATTGCTTCGCTTTCTCGAAGCTGCGGAGTGGCTCTGCGTAATATGTCGAAGGGATTCGGCATTCGTGGGACCAGGATGTACAAGTGGAATGTTCTGATCAGGCACAGTAGGTTGTAAGCATACTGTATTGGCAGCTGATATGCATGATGGGGTGAATGCTTGTGCAGGAACAATGGGCTGACGAAAAGAAACTGGAACCTGGGAGTGTACGTAGTGGCGTCGCTCACCCGGCAATTGGGAACATTGGTTTGGCATATCATTGGAGGAGGTTGAAAAGACGGATACATTACGAGTTGGAGATGCCAGTCTAGAGTTTTGTACAACACACATAGGGGGACTGATTACTACAGCTCTGTTAGGAGAAAGGAGAGGGTCTATCGAAGAAAAGGGAGCACAGGGGATTGTTGATAATTTTGTGGAACGGGAACCAGTGGCAGGGGATAACAAATTGGATTTGTTAGGAGAAACCAGTGGCCCACAGCCCCTAACCGCCGCAGCCGTTGGTAAAAGAGTGTGATTTACCTGTGCGATTGAGTGGTTTTGCACGGCGTGAGACAGGCCAGAATGGAAAACCACCTGCGGAGAAGTAACCAAGGACCCCAACTGAGGTACGGTGGAACGTTCATGATTCGGTATCCTAGATGAACTTGGTGGATCCGAAAAGACCTGGACAAAAGATAGGGACTGCTGGCCATTACACATTGCTGGAAGGCATTGTGAATTCACAACACCTGTAGACAATTGTACTAGTCCTGAACTTTGGTCCACAACGTACCGGGGCATGGAAGTTGCGGTAGCGATACTGGAGACACCCGAGGAGCTGACATATAGATGTAGTTGCTTATTAGTAGAATTAAGAGGAGATGCCGTAGCATGGCAAGACTGAGGTGAGGATGGAGTAGGTGATGGTGAAGGAGAAAACAAATGGCCTGATGTCGGAGTGTTAGCCCGTAAGGTTGGTGACGACAATGTTGTGTGTTCACGGGTGCGGCATGGAAGAACAAACAGCCCCTCACATGGATCATCGCTACGTGCTGCCGATAGGACATAATCAATCGTTTCATCCAGCTTTGTGAGATCCATTCTTGTACGATCAACATCGTTAGGCGATGCTGTAGTATGGGACCCAGACAATCCATTAACGTCGAGCGACGTATCGGCAGCGGTAAGGGTAGTGCAATCTGCTGGGCAAACAAAGGAAATTGGTGTGGACCCTCCATTTAATAACTGGTGATCAGGAGAAAAAAATGTTGAACCAGGAGCAATAGCAGGAGATGTGCATATTAAAGGGCTCGAGTGGGATTTTCCGACGGCAGATGACCTATTGATGTCGTTGGAATCGTCGTTTGGAAGCTGGGAAAGGTCAGGGCCCGACGTCGCCTGGTTGGTTACTGAAAGATCATCTGTTCGTTCCAGATTATTGGAAAAAGTGGCGAATGAAATCTCTGGCGAAATGGAATGATGATTGCTGTCGGTTTGTGACTTAAAAGCCGCCAAACATGGCGACTCGTCCACGAGAGTAAACTTCAATCCATCGGTGCCTGCAGAGCTGTGTGCGGACGGTATCGGTGAACTGGGCTGCACCACCGCAGTTGGGCTGCGCGGAATTCTGTCATAAATGTGAGTCTGGCATGACGGAGAAGAACTGATCAAAGTACTCTCAGAAACCTTGCTCATACCGCTAAGTTCCATGCCGCATCGTGCACGCTGCTGGGGCAACCGAAAGGCTGAAAGAAGGAAAATAATCTCATGACCACGCATCAAAAACAACGTAATGGACAACCATTAAATAGAGACTTCGCAAACGCGCAGTGAAACATTCCAAGTTATACTTACATCTAAGCAAGTGAATGAGTGAAGATCGCAGTCAATAAGCTATAATCGAATTGCGTCTGGGCGTGCTGTCAGAATACTTCAATGAAATATTCTGATACTATGTACAGACGATATGAGTAGCGACAAACTGGATTAGGTATCTAGTTAGACAAACACGGGTGAAATACCTAGACAGACAGGGGCTTGAGTCTGGTTGTAGATTTTTCTTGCTGAAAGTGCGATAATGACACGGAAGCAGCTGAGTGACAAAGAAAATCGATCACATGCTTAACGTTTTCTGATTAACATGGAGAACATATTATAGTTGGTCGGACAAAATCGTTGCATCTAGATGTTCACAGACCTACACACACCAGCAGACAATTTTAAATAATCCAGTGGATAGTCTTCCTTGAAGGGCAGAACATGGTAAAAAGTAAACACGGAGTGAAGCATGCGTCTATTGCTATGAAAATTTCCAAAAGGGATGGAGACAGGTACCCCCGACATTACCCTACAAGGTTAGTAAGCTAGTGATACTCGAGTCGGTGAGAACCAAGATAGGTACATGCTGAAAAAGGGTTATTTAAATTAGTTATACTTAGTATTTACTACTACTGACTCCGTAGATTAAAAACCTAGCCACAGGGCCAAACAATCAAATTGATGCTACCTACGCAACGCCATTGACGCATGAGTGCCACAACTCACTCAGCTTTCGTGCGTAGGGTTCTGCGTTCGTATAAGCCACGACCAGAGATATCACGGATCACAGCTGACCGTACTCCATGGCCAGTAGCAACATCTAAGTGGACAGGGATGCAGTACAGTTCCACAGATGGACAGGAAGACAAGCCGACCAGCGTTCAGTTAGGCGACAGACAACCGTGCGGCGAGTTAGCTGGAACGTTAAGTTCGATGAATTTAGGCTGAGAGCTTCCTCACAAACTGATCGTCGGAGTTGTGACGGAATTCTACTACAGTCTGACGGATTGAATCCGTCCAATTGACAGACACCGAGTTCTTTTCAGCTACGACAAGACTCACCAGTTAGTTCAGTCGCTTACGAAGTCAGACGTCATTTTCATTCGACCATGGATACGAACGAACCAACCTGGTCATAGTATGGGATAGAGAAGTCATTCACATATGACATCCTCATCTCGATCAGAGTAAACGAGCCTCAAGTTTACAGCGATAAAAGTGATCGCTTGCGCCATGGTTCGGGAGGCGGCATTACCCGATCCATGAAAGCCCCAAGTGATGCGCACACAGACCAACTGTTTCCACAAAAATCAATGTCCAGTGTGATTTAACAAAACTGCACGAGAGCATAGGGGTCATCAGCGTTGAAGTGCTGAGGCGCACCTCAGCACGCATGACGTGGCGAGATGTGAAAAACTACGAGAGCGAAAGTCATGGAGTACTTTCGATGTGACAGTGAATGTATTGTTCTGCTTCAAATTCGAAAAGTTCGTCAGGATTGACAGCAGTGGATGAGGTAAGCCTGATCAACAGAACAATATAGAAAGCTACACCAAATGAGGTCCGCAGTTTGGTAGTACACCCGGCACTGACGATATCTCGTCGCAGTGATGAGGCGTCTACAAGTTAACTGATGGGCTCAGCGAACAACCCAACTGCCAGTTTTTGAGAATTGCAGAGACTCAGTCGAATGCCGTTTGTCGTAACGAGTGGGACTGCTTGCTTCCAGCATACTAGTTATGGTAACATAAACAAAAAACTACCTGACAATTTTAGCGTGTAGACAACCGAGCTCAAGATAGCTCAGTAGTGAGAAGTTACTGACCAGACAGTCAATGGTCTAAACTCAACTCTGGCTCCCCAATGGCTTTTGTATGGAATATCTGTAGGCAATCTGGCAGCCACCTGGAAAACTGATCTGGCCGAGGACGCTCAGCTTAAGATAGTGAAGGAAAAAGCACGCGTGTGATCTGTTGTAAAGGAGGCCATTATTACAAAACTAATGTGCACATTCGGTTACGAAATATCCTAAGCCAGCATCGGCCAGAACCCGACAAACTACAAACAATAGATGATTTGCCTCCACACTCATTTAAAATTTAAAAAAAAACGAGCATTTGGTCTCTTCCCTTATTATTTCGGATAGGGATCCCATTTATTGTACCAAATCATCTCCTGCATTGTTGGGGAAATCAGTATCCATGAAAACCGTTTACTTGTCGAGTGAGTACCAAATTTAGTTTGCAAAAATATGAATTTCGTGCCTTTCACTCCAAAAGGGTCACACTTCCTTCCTGTTGACCAGTTACACTTCGTGTGCTAATGGATTTACCGTTCCTCAAGATTGTCCAGAATACATATATTGGACGATGCTACCACTGTACTTCGTCTTTGCTTGAGGCAGTAAAACTCCTCTGAAGGCCCGGTCTTCTTCTTCCCTCTGTGCTAGGATTGGTTGGTGCTCTTTCTCAAGTGGCGTATAGGCGTTGATAGCGATCGTTCAGACACAACACACGTCCATCAGTCAAAAACCAACTTAAACTTTTCAAAATGAGGGGTCGGAAGTGCAGTGAATGAGGCAATAGACTGTTCTTATTGAAACTTGTCGGGACGAGTAATAACCGCATCGTTCAGGCGAGACGGCTCAAGTAGTTAGAGCACCAATTTACTGACCAGAAGGTCTGTGGTTCGAGCCCGACCTATGCCTCTCGATTTCCCCTGTCTAGGCTTGGGCAACCTGGCAGTATCCCAGCCCTCGTGCTTCGAGGCATGGCAGCTGGGCACCGGAAGGGTGTTACAGCTGACTGGTTATCTTTATCAAGCGAGACGGAGGGATTTTGGCGTGATCCGTGACGAAGGAACATCATTCAGTTATCCGGAAAGCCTGCGGAGTCGCCACAGCGATTAGAAAATGGACGCACTACCCTCAAGCTGGTTACTGAAAATTAGTTAATTGCTTCTAACTGTTAGTGCACAACACAACGGAAAAATAATGATAAAAAACGGTGCTCGGGAGTCAGGCTGGATCCCTTCTATTACGATATCAGGTATTGTTCCGATCAACAATAAATACAACTTATGCCGTCTCATCCATATTGGGCCGGAAGTCTACATCTATACCATCTAGCATATGCACAGACCAAGCTTAGGTTCTACAAGCCGGCACAATTACAACTCGTCAGGGCCACTTCAGATGACTACTGCCTTCCGTAGTCTGTTTATCATAAAAAAATAGAAAGGGCGAGATGGCTCAGTGGTTACAGCGCGAACCCATCTACCTCTGAATTTCCCGTCCAGACTTCGACAACCTGACAGTATCCCAACAGTTGTGCTTCCTTGACATGGCAGTCAGACACCGAAATGGTGTTACAGCTGAACGATTTTTTTTAATACAAGGATACTCTCGTAGCCATTTTATCCTCGTCTGCCTAGATATGGAGGTATCCGGCCATTGTTTTCAATCAAGATTCGAATACACCCATTCCGACAAGACCAACCTTTCATGTCTCCCGAACTGGAGACCCTAAACAAGAGGCACACATCAAACAGCCGAAAATACGAGATATTGGACGGATTAGGTAGTTAAATTATACTCCGTGGAAAGCTATCGTCTCGGGTCTAAAGTCTGGAGGGCTTCATTTTAACCGATGGGAACAGGCACTAATGGATGCATTAAATTTTGATTGTTCGTTCCGTCTACGGCCACAAATGCGCCGATGCTCACTCACCCGTGGAATTCCCCTCCATACGTGCATAACTAATCCGGCCAGGGTAGGTTCAGGATGGACCGATTCCTATTTATCCAGGTGAGTGGAAATGATCGAGTACAACCCTAACCACACATGTCTGTTGCAGGAACAGAGAGAAGCAGTCTACTTGATCAATGACGCCCACTGGAAGAAAACGGAATATGGGTATTGAAAGGAAACTTGAACGATTATAGCCCGTATTCATGCCCCAACACACGATAGTGGCAACTCAACTCATGTATCACGAGATCCTATACATTCTAATATTAGAGAAAATATCTTCACAGAGAAGTTGGAAAGCTTTACATCAGCAAAACCGTACAAACCGTTGTCTGACTCGAAACCAGTTTCAATGCAATAAATTGAAAAACTTCACAGTTGATTTTCAGGTAACTCCATCGTGTACTAATCATTTGACCCCTTACATGGCCACGATTTTCAGTAAGCTTCAAGCATCTCTGATCCATCCACCAGAGTACATCAATGACTCATGGTTGCGACCCCTTATCTCCCATTATAAGGAAATGTGACGTCAGACATCAGTTTATGAAATTTCGCCATTTCAGATGTATTGAATTGATGCCTATTTCAGAGATGTTACTAGATTTACATATCTCGAACATTGCCCTTATTTTTCTTGGTATCGGAGACATGAACCTGAATCGTTGACGAGTGCTGGTAACAAGCAACAAAAAACACTCCCATGTTTTCGTTGCACCTGTTTCCTCTTTCTCCTGTCTACTGTTTTCGCCAAAGCTCATCAGCCTGCTGATCTGTTTTCTTCACTGAGGAAAACTGTGCTACTGAATCAGCTGGACGGTGAGATATTACAATAAACAGGGATGCTCCCATAATTTTATCATGAGGTGGGTATTTCAGCATAGTCGGAAGTTAAACCTCACTTCTGGTGAGGGCAAACTGAACCAGAAACGGGACAGCGGACATCCTTTCAGGGCTTCATTGGCAAAAGGGAACTACTTGGAAATGATAGCAGATCGTTTTCTAAATAATCGTGATAATATTCGCCAATTTTACTGGCATTTCAGCTGCATTAGCTTATTTCACAGCGAAGTCCCATCCGCGATAGAAAAAGGCAGCTCTGATACATAGAAATACGACGGTAACTGGGTGCTAAGTGTGATACTCTAACAGTTGCCAAGATCTGAGAAGTGAGGATGGTAGAAAGTCATCCTATGTGGGAACCAGATTGCTCCGTGCGACTAGGGGGTTCCTCCATCGTAGTCAGTTATCGGACGGTCGTCGCCAAATGATCTTCTGCGCGACCCCTAGAAGTTTGTTGCAGATTACCTTTTGTAGATTGGCTCGACGTCACAGCACTCAACAGGAGACGGCTGACTGACCAAGGACTTTTCGTGGAGCTGGTTCTGAACACATCCTACCTGGAATCAGTTGTCTCGATTCACTGTGCCTGAGACTGACAGGCCAAACTCAAGCGACCGTGATCAATACACATTCTAAAGCCACACTCGAAGAACGACAATTTCTAGGTCAAATGATACCGTTTCGGTTACCTCCAAAAACCGAAAGAATTTCTCGTTGGGATACTTCAATCCATTGCTCCACTCCCAATCTCCCCAATTAAAAGTCCACTGACCACCCTTTATTTACGCATCAATTATATCAGCTACCGCCTCCAATGCACTCAGATAAGCGCCTAACACAGGCCCTTAGGTGTCCATAGGCATTAATGTACAATACCTTGAGGGAGCTGAGAATTTATTGAATTTTTTTGCCACACTGTCACAGGGCCAGAAGAGCAAAAGCGAAAACCAAGAAATATGACTATTGTTGGCCTCCGAAAGCAGAAGCGTGGTCAACTCGCCACAGGGCAGGGAAAAACTCAACTTGAGTTCCGCGGGCACGTCGTCACACTGCGAAGGGTAAGACCAGAGAATAACTAGGTAATCACGATTAACAGGATAACGCGGCGATGTGCTTCACAGTGTTCGCGTATCCCTTTTGAAGACCGCGACAGTCGTTGAAGTACCCCATTTTACGGTTCCCTTGATACCATGAAAGACCATCGTGTCAGGTAGGTTACTAGAAAATTTCTGCCACTTTTGAATACGTCTAGATACCATTCGTTTGGACCTGGTGCTCGAGAGTCACCGTGAACAGACGACCTCAGTAACCCAAGCTGTACAAGAGGATTCACGTGCAGCATCCACAGATTCACTCATGTCAGGTTGGTCAATGGATAAGGGTTTGACAAATAGTTTCCTGACCCTCATTAATTTTAACCATTTTAATTTTTAATTTTAATTTTAACTCCATCCACGGTGCTTGCGAGACAAGCATAGACTCCAAATCGATCACCCGGAGGTGGTTCTTCCGGGCTAAGTCAACTGCCTTGAACACTTACATCGCCGCAAGGATAATAATGTTAGTTTCCTCCTGTCTGACCGATCAATCCGAACAGATCTTAGCGGATACGCCTTTCCAATGTTGGAATGTCTGGCATTATCAGTGCTATTATGGTTTAACTTAATGGGCGGCAGGTTGGACAAGGCATATTGGTCAAATCTAGTGACTCAAGAAACAAACGAACAAAAAGCTGAGAGCGAATATTTCCGGTTGTCCAGCGAAGCAACAGTTTTGAACACTGATGTTATGCTGTCGATGTCGATAATGATGGCCATGCAGGTCCGCGAAAATATGTTTGGTTGAGGATCCCTCCTTGACACTGGCCCACTTGATTGTGGAGGATCCGAGAGGCTGAGGGACCGAGGGCAGACAGAGACAGATGCTTTTTCCCTGTCGCTACTCTGAACAACAAATGCTTTTGGGGTCACACTGGACACGCTTGACTTTGAACGGATTTTGGGACAACGTTCCTTATGCTGTACTTCCCTATGTGGAAGCAGCATCGCTTCTCCCATAAACATGGAGATACTAGCCGCCTATTGGTTCTACACTTCTATCGCACAGAAACGCATGACATCACATGACTGCTTTACATGATTGCTCATACTACAGCGACTCGCTGCTCATCGTTCGACAATTCTACTTTAACCTTTCTGTTTGGAACTTGAGGAACGACTTTCCAGTCAGTGCGTTCAAAACCGTCAACTTGTCTGTAGACTTTGAATACAGTTGGAAATTTTAGATTGGCTACAACTTCGTTCACCGAGGATAACGAGAATAAGGGGATGAGGCAAGTGTTGGGGACGACGGCCAGTCTGTGTACTGTGTGAACGCGGATATAAAAGACTTGTTGAATTGTTCGGAGTATTCTTCAATGAGTTCACACAGACTGGTTATGAACTCAACGCTTTCCTACTTGGTTGTCTGGAACGTGTTCGACTGTTTTCTTTAGATTATCCTGATATTTGAAATACGCCTGGTCTCCTTCAACGCAACTGCTAGAAAAACCCAACGGGCCTGAATGGATCAGCGACACCAGCCCGCTGTCAACAACAGAAATCCAGCGTAAGGTATCACTCCAACGCGACAAGGCACCTAGTTGGAATGGTCTTCATCCCGCACTCTTCGAAGGTTGAGGTCCTGGTGAACAGTCTGATGACCATACTGCATAAGATTTGGGATACTAATCAAAGGGAGCTCCTTAACCATCATCCTAGGGAGCAAAGACGTTAGGTGAAAGCTATCGTGACGCCAACCTTGTATCCGTCTCATCTAAGGTGCTCTCTAATATTATTCTGCATAGGTTGATCGATTATCGGGAAAGACATTCGTATGAATTAAGCTTATATCTGACTTACATCTTTACCTTGATACCAGTTGTTGAAAAGCGTCACTATTCCAAACGACAGCTTCAGACGCTGTCGACCGGGAGAAACTCTGGCCATTAAGAGTATCCCTATGAGGGCTTTGTATGCATACTCCTGTGGGCGTACGCGAGTATACGGCAAGCCTTCCCCTGAGTTCATCACACATGGTGGCGCAAGGCAAGGCTGCCCTCTCTCACCTTTCCGATTGAAGCTTCCCTGTCTGTCTCTGACACCTCGGGAGTCGAAATGCCCACAGACACTGAGTATGCAGTCTTGCCCTCCTTTCCGATTGAAGCTTCCCTGTCTGTCTCTGACACCTCGGGAGTCGAAATGCCCACAGACACTGAGTATGCAGACGATATTGCCCTCCTTTGTTAAGATCCTTCAAAAATGCGTCAGCATTATCGACAGCATAACAATAGCGTTCAATACTGATGCTTCGCTGAAAATCATTTCAAATAATCTAATTCTGTCGCACGGCTTGGAATGTGCTCCTCACCAGCAAAGTGCTGCCACAAGATTGGGTAGGATTCGACCCGAACATCATGCTTACAGAAGAGCCAATCGAAGCGGCAAATAAATTTGTTTGCCTGGAGAGTTGTGTAAGGTCAAGTGGATTGGCTAAAGATGAGATTACTTCTTGAATCGGGAAGACCAGGACAGCTTTTGCCAGCATCCTACACCCAGTTCCCCAAATAACGCAACATACCATCTCCAATGCGTGGCTGTATTTCCCACTTTCCGATTATCGAAACCGTAGCAGCTGGAACGAATGTGCCCATCGTACATGGCTTTTGGCTGATAAACTGAACCAATTGATTAGAAATATTATTGAGTTCCCAGCAACCCTTTTATCGACCGGAGAGTCTGACTACCACGCCTCACGGTTACAACTACGGCTCAGGCCAGTAGGAATAAATACACCATCTTCAGCTGCAAACAGTGTACGTGTTGTGCAGTGGTTACATCCACCATAGTTTTATTCTCCAATTATCTAAGAAGACATGGGTAGACAGCTAGTTATTGGAGACAGTAAGTGATTTAATTGATGCATCAACCCAGGGGTGACGGTGGACTTTTCATTGAGGAGAGCTGGAAGGAAAACCATGTATTGAGGGAAACAGCTGGACGAGGTCACTGCTTGACCTTCCATGGACCGTTTCGATCGGTTACATAGTTGTGCAAAAAGGGGCTCTCGAGGAAAATCGCTACTCGGTATACGGAGCATGCGACCAGGAGTGTGATAAGTTCACCTATCTGGGCGATTATAGAGTGAGTAGATGTTCAGCGGGTGGTACGCTATTGAATAGTAAATTAACAAGCATGAGCAATTACAACGAACACCGGCTTGAGTTCATTGAGAGATTCGACTGTGAGCAAAAGATGGTCAGACTTAAGTTGCGCTCACCTAATGCATAGTTTGAGACGTTCCCCGAAGCGAATTGTCCCGTACAGACCAAAGCGGGGTGAGAATCGACGTAGATGTTTAATGACGTCTAAAGTTGTGCATGCATCTTCACCACCGGGAACTGATTGGAACGCGGTCTTTTAGTGTCCACGGCTGGTGGAGGATCAGGGATACCAGATAACTGTGTTAAGACTGTGCTGGGTATTGACGTTATACAGAAACGGTCCTCATTGTTACCGCGTTGAGTGCCTGCAAAACCTCAATTCCCTAGGTTGATTTTATCAAGCTCCAATAGACTAACTTGAGAGTTCATATGCCTGACTAGTACTACACGCACGCTATGCTTTCAACTCAGTTCAGTTTATCAACTTCAGGCAACGTACTAACGACCATTTAGGTTCGGAGGCTACAATTTCGATCATAGAAGAATGGGCCACATAAATAACCGGGTACTGAAGGCGGCGACACAATCGGTTAGTTGCTGTAGTTCATTAAAGTTAGTCGAAGGGGAAATTGGGCAGCTAGGAATTGAGGACGATGGCTTTGATGCAGCACTGCCAGTCACTGCATTGCTGAACCACGTCTAAAAGTGTCACTAATTGTTTTGGCTTTTTATTCATTTGGAAGTAAAACTCATTCTTCGGGGTAGGAACTGACGTTGGTTTGAACGTGACGAACATTGCTTATCTGAACACCGGCTAAAAGCCTTGAATGCACGTCTGAGCATCACAAGACTAGAATCTACTAGGATACAGTTTACCCACAGGACTCTACAGAAGCACCTAATAAGACCCCACACCGTCTGTCCAGACAAGGTTGGCTCTCACGGATCTGCCTACCGCTGGAGTCAGTCAACCACAGAGCACCTGCAATGCCAAAGCTAACTTGTCAATGACAAAGTTACTTATGTTTTCGCGCGCCCTTTTTTGAAAGAAAGGAATGGTCGTCGACGTGCTCTATTCCATGGAGTACTTTCACTTCACTCTACTTAGCGCAAAAAAGTGTACCGTGTGGGTAACTAAAGATCCGCTTCTGTCTTCGAAGAGGCTCCGACACAAACCGTTCGATCCTGATGCATTCTCAAATCTTCACACTGTCTGTTCTGGCAGGCAAGGTCCCGAGATAGCCGTGGTTAACGCACGAACTTGGTGATCGGGAGGTCCGTGGTTCAAACTCACCATAGGCACCTCGACTCATATCACCCGCGAACATGAGGTTAGTGCTTCTTGCTTCACGAATAAGCCCGGATAAATCTAAGCAGCAGAACTGCCGTCTGACACTACACCTCCTTGAGGGTCCCTCTGGCCCCTTACTCTGGTTGTCGCCGCGCTGCATTCTCCGCCAAACACAACGATTTATTCGTCCAAAAAGTTCAATCGGACAGTGGATAAATCCTTACGCCCTGAACGGTTGGGTACCGATCCCAACACTCAAGACAAATATCTGGGAGCTTCACTTCCGAAAATGTTCGCCGTAATCAGTGGCCCGTACCACCGTAGTCACCTGAAATCCTTTTGGCATCCGTCTAACACAAAGCTTCGCCTTTGGACAGTTTTTTAAACTGCAACATAAACATACCCATCTTTCAAGTCTTCGGTATTATGTGACCCAGGTGCAGATTTTTGTGCGCTCGTTCACAAATTATGTAATATGTTACTATGTATTATGATTGGTCGTACCCGTTCAGATACATAACATTTTGGCAACGAGGTTTGTTTCAGACTTTTCGTAATGGGTCCCGCGATAGTAGAGGAACTGCTTGAGCAACAGCTTAAGCTCATCGAACTGCTTACGCAGTTAAAGGTTGCCGTTGCTGGTGCTATGTCCGATCCGGTGCCAGGTTAGGTCGACGGAATGGCGAATAGCATAGTTTAACTGTGAGGTAGACGTTGGCGTCACATTCGAGACATGGGTCCACCGCTACAAGGGCTTCTGGGGGGGGCGATATGAGACAGTGGTTAGACCGCGAATTTACTGAACAGAAGGTCTGTGGTTCGAACCCGGCCTCTGCCTCTCGGCTCCCCAGACCTTGTGCTTCCTTCGGGTGGTATGGCAACTAGGCACCGAAAGGGTGTTACAGCCGAACGACTATTTTTATTTTACAAGGACTTAATTTGAGTCGATCTCACTGCTCAGGACGATCCATGGAAAGTCCGGCTCTTGCTTTTTAAACTGGACAAGTACTGCAATCTGATTCTACGACAGAACCCAGCACAACTGCCCGGTCATCTATTCACCAGTATGAACGAAGAAAATCATTCAGCTGTGAAAACCTTCCGGTGCCTAGCTGCCATGCCATCCGGAGGAAGCACGAGCCTGGGATACTGCCAGGTTGCCCAAGCCCAGGGAGGGGAAGTCGAGAGGCAGATGCCGGGTTCGAACCACGGACCTTCCGGTCAGTAAATTCGCACTCTAACCACTTGAGCCATCTGGCCCCACAAGTATGAACAGCAGCAGTTGTTTCGCCAAACTTGACGTGGCTAACGCATAGGTGCAATCACAGTTGCGCCGGAGCCCTGATCTCTGCTGACCATCAACAGACATAGGGGTCTGTACGAACACAATTGTCTAACATTCGGATTAAGACGGTCCCTGCGATCTTCCAACAGTTGATGGACGTATACTTGGATGATGTGCTAATTAACACAGGCTCTCTCGATGAACTTTGAGCGCAAATCGATATCGTGCTCCAATACATCCAGAACGACGGCCTTCGCCTCCGTCCTGAGAAGTGTCAGTTCTTCATGACAGCCGTTTAGTATCTCGGATTCATTTTCGATACCTCCGAGAATGTTACTATGCTCCGGTTTCTTGGGTCTTATCAGCTAGTACTAACTGTTTCTACCTGCACTGCAATGTCCGGTTGCCAATCCATCGCCTTCTGAAACAGGACGTGACTTGGGTTTAGTCAGAAGAGTATGACGCTGCTTTCTGCCAGCTCGTCTATTCGCAGCTCCGAGCTGCTACTGGCACACTAGGATTCCAGGCTGCCAATTTTCATGGCAGCTGATGCCTCTCTTTGTGCCGTCAGCCTTGTCCATAAAAACGATATTTTCCTCAGCTTAGTTCCAAGTGTGAGCCTCCCAAACAAACGTTCCTGTCAAAAACAACCACCACCAGTGCACAACGTACATTTCCGCTGAGTCAAAAACACATGTACAGCGCGTCGTATATGTGGTGTCAGCGGCTACAACCTTCTGGATGCACAACTGGCAACCGGCATCGGGCCAATACTGGATCATGATTGGTTGTTGAGTTCAGGCTTTCGACCAACGAGAGCTCGGCTTAATGCTGAAACAGTAAGAGGCCCGAACTGTCGGCCAATTTTATACAAGATAGGCTTCCCGGTCGTAGCAGCGCCTTACTGCGAGCTGTACAACGGTAACCTTGTAGAATTCCGCCTAGCACTGGCATCCTTCATGTACTCCCCAGATAGAATCATGCGATCATGCATGCATCCAGGTCGGCAACCTGAGCAGAACAACAGTATCGTCAGATTGAGAAAGAGGCCTTGGTGTAAGTCTGCCGTCCATCACCATCATCAAGGATAGCAACATCAGTGTTGACACTGATGCTTCATTGCCATCCATCGATTGTACGAGATGATATACGGCTGTCAATACACTCTTCTGACCGATAATGAGCCTTTGCTAACCATTTTTGGTTCGAAGTCTGGCATACCCGCTCATTCTGCGAATTGACTGCAACGTTGGGCGCTCACCCTGCTTGACTAGGACTTTGAAATTCAGTATCACCGCACTGAAAATTTCGGCCAAGAGGATGCACTCTCACGACAGATCGGTGATCACACTGCTCCAAAAAAGGACTCCGTCACCGCTGCCCTGTCTATCGATAACCACGTCAGCCAGCAGCTGCTCCAAACAACCCGTGCCTTGCCTGTGACTGTACCCGAACAACCCTGGTCCCGGGTGCATGTTGATTACGCTGATCGTATTGGTGGTGACACACCTCATCTTGGTCGACGCTTTCTCCAGGTGGCCAGAAGTTGAGCCTGTGCCGCCAACGACAACCAGCCCTGCGAGTCCTGTCTCGGATCTTCAGCTAGCAAAGCCTGCCGGAGACTTTAGTGCGGATAATGGATCGCAGTTCAGCTCTAGCTGCCTCCAAAATTTCTGCCGGAAAATGCCACGCCACCCGCAATCAAACGGTCAGCTAGAACGCTTCGTCGATACGTTCAAACAGGCGCTGCTAAAATCTCGAGGTGAGAGGATATCCAGAGATTCCTTCTGGTTTACCGGACCAACCCATAAGACTCTGGAAGACTGCTTCGAAACTCCTAATCGTATTGAAATCGTAACAGCCTTCCAAAGTTTCATTCAGGTCGTTCGGCTTGATTGTTCCTTCTTGGGTTGTATAGGGTGGTCCGGTCAGTGGCAACGCCTTTTTCATGGAGAAATTGCTTAATATGAATGAAGAAGCGAAAGAAAATATGTGCCTACGATAGTCAGATATTTTAAGCCATCGAAGGCAGTGTCTTTTGAAGTCAATGCTTAAACGTTCAAATGCTTGGGTGGTTTTATTGTGTACCACTAGATGACTAGAAGAAACGTCGTTTTGGTTCCGCGCACATGTGGCATTTCCGAATGACAAGTCGGATTTCCTCTAGGGAGCATGGAGGGGGGTTGACGCGGACGAAAGGTATCATGCGTATTGCCCAATGATAGCAAAGTTTCATGTATGTGTTTTATGTCCGTTGAAATGAACTGTTCGCAAGGATATTCGGGAGAGTGTCAGCAGTTTGTTAGTGCTCGGTCTTTGGATTACATAGGGCGATAACTCCATGCGTCATCGTTGGGTTTTGTTGTTTACTGCTATTTTTTCAGTGTTGAATAAATAAGAGCAACTGTTACCATCTTTAAATGGGTCCCGATTCGGTTCTGTTTGCAGTTGAGCACTGCTTCAACAATTGCGAAAGCTTCCCCCTCAACAGCGAACTGATGTTTCTTGCTTGCCGACAGTGTATGTGAGAGAATGGGACTGGTCTGCTCGCTTGGTTGTGTCGTGGAAATTCCAACATCACATGCGTCAATTCCCAACAAGAGGTACGCTCGGATCAACAGCTGCATC